TGGGGGGGGAGGTATGGTTACCATATCCATGCATGGGTTTCAGCGATAAATTGGCCTGGATGTGCCTTACAAGTTCACCCGTGGACAGTTTCCTGACCCAGCTTGTTACTTGGTAATCTTGGACTGCTATCGCCTTGGTATCTCAGGTAAGAAAACATAAGTGGAATGAGATTGATAGACCCTCCGCCGTTCCGTTACGAATTCGCCACTGCACTGCGTTAGAGCTATTCGCCTGAATTGGTGATTTCCACTTGACTATTGGGATAAAAGTGTATAATTATACCATCAATGAGTGGGAAACTTTTGCTGCGGTCAGAAACATAAATTACCCCGTGCTGATTTGGCTATATTTCGTGCGTTTTCCCTTGCCTGATGGCCAAGTTCGTGAGGTCATCACGTTCACTGACTTCCCAGCTACTGGTAGTGTCAGCGCTGTCCAATGACAACGCGTACCCACCCGCGCTAAGTTAGAAGCTACATGGAGCGCCAAGATTATGATGTTCTGTAACGAATCATTACCAACTTAGATGTGCTATTGATTGGCCGTCTATTGATTTTCGCGAATCAGTCGACAGCAAAAGAGTAGTATTTTATTGGTCTAACACCTCGTCATTTTGAGCAACGTATGGTATCACGGGCTGGGAGGTTTCCACGCTCGTAGACCTCCTCGGGAAGGCGTAAACAGCGTTGAAGAAGGCATCGACCACTTATGAGCTTATCACCTTGTCAGCGACATATGAATTACGTCCCAGCAACCCAATCGGCGCGATTCGGGCACCTCAATCATCTTTACAGCTCGCTTTTAGTGCATTGTGCACTTTCTCTTCCTCTTCAATGAACATTTAGATTGGTTTAAAACGTTCCAGCTGACTGGAAACGTTTTTTTTGTTAGTTTTTATGTAACACGAAACGTAACGGATGCGCCCTATTAGATCCCGGAATTTATTTAATTGTACCGTCAAAGTGACAGTGAGGACTTTACTTCTTGCTGAAATAATTTGTGTTCCAGGTTAAAATCGCCTAACTCATCAGCTAACGCTGAAAGATTTAACAGATCGCCGTCTTCGTCCATATGCGGTTCCTACGACCCCTTTTCACGAAATGTTGCGCCATACACATCGTGATTGGATATAAACCACGACGAGGGGTCTCTCGAGACGCCTGCTGCTTCAACGCTCCGCATGATTGTAGCCTCATCCGTGTCTCGCCACGCACAAAGGATCCAATCGCAAATAGTGTCAACACTTGGCATACCTGGGTTTCCAAATCGAGTGTACTCGGCTCGATCTGATTTATTGCAAGCGATAATTTCCATGTACAGTAGGTCCTTGAAACGCATATAAATTCTAATATATCCAGCGTGCAAGTAAGGCGTGGGGCCACCAAGCACAACACTCATCGATTTTTTTGAAGAGCACTTAGTCTTCACAGATTTCGATATGTGGGCTCTCATGCTGCCCCATACCAAGCATTTACCTTCACTGTGTATCACAAATGGAAAGCCAAATCAATCTACGTTATGAGCAGCTCGCTATTAAGGGTTGATGTGCCACGAAAAGTGGTCCTGGATTTTTTTTTTAAAGAAGATGAAGATTTTCTTTTCTAGACCAATAGTGGGGGCAACTTTCGGCATGTTGCACTTACAGTAAGAACAACTGTACAAGTAATACGCATCGAAGTAAAATCAATGGAGCGAATAACGACATGACGGGCACCCGTGAAAATCAAAGTGTTTGAGCGGGCTTCTTTGGAATAAACAGCCGTCTCGTCCATAAGAACGGTCTGCTTTAAGTCGGTAGTTGGCAGCTGACTTCTTACATGTAGGCGACAGCACGGCTAACCAGCACGTCGTCCTCGAGAATTGATCGGTTAGTCCGGCAACGTAGAGAAATCTCAAACCGGAGCATGAAGTTTGAGATCCAGTGGTCCGAGGCAGCAAGTATGGTGTGTCTTTTCTTTTCAGTTTCCCCCGCGTTAATGGTTAAGGCCATGTTAGCGAGCCAGCTGCGCGCCACCTTCTCCTTTTTCGTTCGCTTAGCTACGAATTCCTCGTAAAATAGTACTTCTAGTGTCTCAGACACCTACTCGAGATTGATGACGCAACCAACATCGGACCGCTCCACCATCAATAATCCAATCGACAGACCGAAAATGCGCGACAGCAGGAGTTTATATTCCTTCCCCGACATCTTTAACCCATTCTATTACCTCTTGCTTGCGTCCAATGCTAACCGACTGCCTTTGATGAGGCATTATTGAAAGAAACGGAAAATGTTCCTCTCTGTAGAATGGATGGTCAGCAAGCTTGTAATGGGGCAGTTAAGAGAACTTTGCACTTTGCACTTTGCAGCCAAAAACGCAACATAAAACGTACTGCGAACTTACTGGTGGGCCATGAAGATGCATAGATCAGTTCGCTGCCGCAAACCTCGTGTTTGTTGCAGTCAAACCGTCCTTTCCGCTGTATACAATAAGGAGCACTTTGCAGTCACCTAATCACCTAAGACCTTCACTCCCACTTCAACCATTGGACCATCATTCCTACCGCTAGACGCCTCAAACCGCATTCTTTGTTCAAGGCTAACACGATGTCGGAAGCGAAGGATAGCGTGGTTGCTTTACTTGTGCGCAACTGGTCGTCTTCAGAAGAGGACAGCAAAGACCACAGCGACGACATTGCTGTTGGTGATGCTCAGGCGATGGCCCCAGCTTCCCTTAACATCCCAAGTATCCGTAGGTTGTCTACACAGCGTATCTTCGGCGAAGGCGTGAGGTCGACGGATCTACACCATTGCCCGGCCAAGTTGAGAATAGTTTTAGCCAAAACGATACTGTATTTTTTCCGGTTTCCCAAAAATGTAGTTAGCAGCCAAAAATCGAGGTCCAAAGCGAGATTGATTTCATGCAAAAAGCGATCCAGCCGACGTGCAGCCAAAATTCGACGTGTTCGCGCGCGCGCGAAATTTTGGCGCGAAGCCTCGGCTCAAGGGCGCGCTCCAGGAGCTCACTTCTAATCCTGCCTTGTCCAGCAAAGATGCCCTCCCAAGCCTCCCTCCCCAAGCACTCCGCGGCCGAGAACGTCGTGTCCTCGACGCCTGCCGCGCTGGAAGGACCGACTGGCTCACGGTAGCCAAGAACAACGGCATCTCCCGGGCCGTTGCGTACCGCATCGTTGACACCGACCGTGTCAACAATCTCCCCCGTGGTGGCGCTCGTCTTGGCTCAACCAAGGTTACGTCGCTGGTGAAAGAGCAGTTGGAGGAGTACTTGAACGAGAACTGCGCGCTCACCATGGAGACCATGCGCCGCATGCTTGCGCTGGACTTAAGCGTGGCCATCTCCACGTCGACGATCAGCCGTCACTTGCTGGGGATGCTGTACACGGTGAAGCAGACCCGCGTGGAGCCGACAACCTGCAACAGCATCACGAACAAGACGAATCGTAAGGAGTTTGCGATCAAGTTGAGGCAGCACCAACTCCAAGGTAACTTCATTGTGTACTTCGATGAAACTAGCTTTAATGTGTACTGTAAGCGCGGCCGAGGGCGCGCGAAGAAGGGTGACCGAGCTACGGTTGTTCTGCCGCCGTCCAAGGGTGCGAACTTGCAAGTCCAGTGCGCTGTGAACTCGGCCGTTGGTGTCGTTTTGCATCGCCTCGAAAGAGGTAGCATTCGGATGGAGCAGAACGCGGACTTCATCGACGAGATATACGCGACGGTCAAAGCGTCCCAGTACTTCCGCGAGAACTACGCTGGGAAGACGATCGTTGTCGTCTTGGACAACGCCCCCGCCCATCGCCAGACGGAGGAGCGCGTGACGTCCCACGCCGACCTGGAGCTGCTGCGTCTAGCCCCCTACTCGCCGATGTGCAACCCCATTGAGGGTTGCTTCTCCGTCCTGAAGTCGCACATCAAGGGCCACCTCGCCTTGGATCACTCGGAAATTTGCGATCGCAGCGACATGACCGACGCCGACGGCAGCATCCTGACCGTGAAGGAGCGCACGATGCGCTTTTTAGAAAGGGCTGTCCGCGGCAGCATCAAGTACATCACTCCCGCCGTCGTCTCGAACATGGAGCTACACGCCCGCGACTCCGTGAACGCTGCCGAGAGCATGGTCGACATGGTCTACGGAAAGTAGGCTGATAGTGCTAGTCGAGCTTGGGACCCTCGGCTCTGTCTGTTCGCTTTGCATGAAATCAATCTCGCTTTGGACCTTGATTTTTGGCTGCTAACTACATTTTTGGGAAACCGAAAAAAATACAGTATCGTTTTGGTTGAAACTATTCTCAACTTGGCCGGGCAATGGTGTAGTCGTGCGAGACCTGTGGTAAGTGCCAAGTGCCACAAGCACACACCCAAGACAGGGTAGACTAATTTGGTGTCCTATGTCCGGCCCAAGCATCCTATCTACGAGAGCGGCATGCGTGACGCTAGCGCTGCTGCAAGCGGAACGCTGCGGCCATGGGTAAGCCAGATAGCGTCGACCCGCTTTGCCTGGATGCGGGCGGGGGGGGGGGGGCAGACAACCTATCCACTCTCCTTATGTGAGTCACAGGAAACCCGCCAGTACGTATTTTCGTGACTATTTTCGTATCTGAACCCATTATTTCCTCTTGTACCTGATGTTTAGGTACACCAAGCACAATATTGTGTGTTCCTCTCCAAATTTACGATGCGGGTTCAATCAATCACGCAAGCTGAATCTCTGACGACTGACCCAGCCCAAACTAAATGTATTTTATGAGTTATGTCAGTGCCCTTTGCACCAGTGCACCATACCCATTTCAACATGGTTGCCGTGGCCTCGGTCGCGGAAACGGAAGAACAGGATGCCGCTGTCAGAGCGCTGACTCCCACACAACACGAATCATGAGGCAGTCGCTCGGGACCTCGTGTGCCCCCGTATTCTCGTAGGCCTACCCCTCACCGGCAACATCTACTCGATCCCAAACAGCAAGAAACTCTCTTCGATCCACACAATCCACTCCAGATGGGGGGCTGTATCCCCCCCCTTGTGTGGTCCAAACAACGCCGGGTAGGGCAACATGTGCTTCAGAGAGTAGAAACTCTCATGCGTCGTCTACATCTAGTGCTGAGGTTTGCCGACCGGCTACAAGAGCTTCTCCCCGCTTGTCGCATTATCTATATGGTGAAACTCCATCCGATATCCCCACCCATGTAGCAGACCATCACCGTTACCAACTTGTGGTCCGGCCAATTCTAAAGACGACGATTGCGCAGCTCGAGCAATTTGGTAGGAGCGCGATGACGCTGCTTTCAACGGAGTCTCGTTTAGCGAAGCTCTGAAAAAAAAACTGAGAGCGTTTTAGTGAAGAGCTATTAAGAGGGATGGTGTCTGGTCTGTGGAGGTTCTAACAGTTGAAAAGTGGTCGAGGGTTAAGCAGTTCGAGGCAAGGCGTCACTTGAATGACGACAACAAGTCAGAATATTGCGTGGAGCCGCTGGCTCCGTTCCATGCTCAGGGAGACAGTTACGCTGCTAGTGTATGAGCAAGGATTTGCCATAACCAAATGGCAAGACCTCGAGACATTACTGCAGCTTGCATTGTTTCACCTGACACCGACCGCGCTGGGGCAACAGCCGAAAGTTTACTTCTTCAAGTAGCGTATCGACTCCGTGGGCGCTAGGAAGAAACGTTCCAAGGAGAACCCGTTGTCTGGCGGATGTGGGCTAATCACCTTACATACAATCTTAACCGATCAACGTGGGAAGTGGTGATAGCCCATCCACCTCCGGATCACATAATTATGTATTAATTTAAGGAAAAACCTACTGCCCAGGTTTTTGGTGCATAGCCATGCGACTATTGACCAGGTTTAAAGCACAGATTTCGCCAGGTTTCTGGCCAGGCTGTAATTAATAAAGTAAAATACCATGATTTGAAAATATTCCCCTACACCTACTAATCTCATGATACGGCACCTGATCGCACGTATCTCTGCAGCGCAGCTTCTCAAAATCCATTCATTTCCAATTTTGAGCCGTGCTAGAGGAATGAAGCGCAAAACCCACTCTGAGGACGAAGCGTCCATCAACGAAGATCCCCCAGCCTCTTTGTGCAGCGTCTCAGAATCGGAAGGTGAGGGGGAGGTGGCCACGCAGGTTGGCGGCAGTGCTAGCGACGAGGAGTTTCCAGCAGACCAGGAGGGCTCTTTTGAAGGGAAGGAGCTGCGTCGCTACCACACAAACTGGGAAAGCTGGGAGAAATACCGTGAATCGTATTGCGAATCCGAAAGTGCGCATCTTGTGGTGCACGAATCGGAGAGTGTCGCCAAACGCAACAAGATGCTGCGTGCTTCTAAGCGCGCTAAGGACGGTGGTTCGATGCGATACTTACCCCGAAGACCGTCCCCGTTTTCGCCGGAGATACATTTGTACGCACGGGTCGCGGACCCGCCGCCGTGGATCTGGAAAGAGACAGCAGTTCAAGCTTCGAGGTACTGGATGTCCATTTCGTTTTACTGCGGAGAGTGTGTACCACAAAGGAAAGTGAATCCTAGAGATCAAAAATCCCATCTACACTCACAACCACATACTTTCCCAGGACATTTACGAACATTATCCTCACAATCGCCAAGTTCCGATGTTTGAGCCTCTGGTCGAAGACCTTCGGTTGATGGTACGCGCTGGAGGCAAGAGTCTCCGAATTTACGAGTACATCCGTGATAACTCCAGGTACAAAGTGACGCAGAGAGATGTGGCCAATCTTCTTACCCGAATTCGCAATGAGCTCCGTGGACAGGCCGATGATGATTTGGCTGTTGCCGAATTTCTTGTCGGCTTCGGCGAGGAAGACAGGAACAACGTGGTAAGTGTCGATGACACGCTAACGGGGGAGACAGGATTAATCTCACTGAGTACAGGCCACATGCGAGCGACGTTTGCTAAGTTTCCGGAGCTCCTGCTGGTGGACTGTACGCACAAAACCAATCGGTAAGTTCATAACAGGTTCTACACCAGGTTTCCACTCCTTGCTTAAACCAGGCTTCCAACAGGATACGAATCAGGTTTCGTACCAGGTTTTAAGCTACGGCTCAAAACAGGATTCAACTGTTCATTCTTTTTTAACATTTGTTTTTATGTTTTATAGATACGACTACCAGCTTTGCAGTCTGATGGTGATGGATGCCTTCGGGTCTGGTCAGTTCGTACAGCACTCTGCTATCGAGACCAACTCGGATTGGCATATGCGGAAGATGCTCAGCCACTTCAAAACTGCCAATGTCACTTGGGAGTCGCTCCGCGTTGTGATCGTTGATAAAGACATGCGAGCGATCAGTGTTATTCGGGAGGCATTTTCGGATGCAACTATTTTGCTCTGTCATTTTCACGTCTTGAAGTTTTTGCGAAGTGTGGTTCGTAAGGCTCGCTTCGGACGCTATTCTGCAGACGAGTACGACTCGATGAATCATCTCTTTTCCAATCTGGTAGACGCTCCGTCCAACGAGGAATACGCAAAGAATTATTCTATTTTGGAGAAGTTTTCATGCGCGCATGGAAACACCTCCTTCTGGGAATACTTCTGTGAGAATTGGGACAAGTCGAAGGACATGTGGACTAGATATCGCCGCCAAAGACTACCGCATTTTCGCAATAATACGAATAATCGCATCGAGTCTAATTTTGGAAAGCTCAAACTCGATCTTGATTCATCGTCCACAATGAAAGAGTGCTTGGAGTCTCTCATGCGTCATCAGCGTCGCGTAGAAAATGAAAGTTTAGCGAGAGAGTCGTTTAAAGGAAGGTGGACGCATTATGGCTATGATCAGGAGTTAAACTTGGTGCTGCGTATTTGTACGTCTTGGGTAGCGTCTACGATTAAATCTGAGTACGAGTTTGCTATTTCGAGTGAAGCCACCGCGCTATACGCTTTCCTTGAAAAGCCGAGCGATACCGTTGAGGTTATCAGCGGAGATCATCGTCACAATTTTTCAAAAATGGAGTGGTGCTGTGACTGCGATTTCAACCAGACGCTAAAGTTACCATGCCGTCATGTTATTTGCTATCGTCGAGTATCGGCTTTGGTTCCTGTGATTCCAGTGTCATTTATACATGAGCGCTGGTTATCAACTGGTGTCGCCCGCCCGGTGTCTCTCCCCCCGGTTGACTGCTTCAACTACACGAAGACAACTTGCCCCTTACGGAGTTACGATTCCTCGACAGTTTTGGATTCGCGACAGAAGTACGGCGTAACTCGAAACTTGATGCGTCGGATATCTAGCGAAGTTTCCGATTTACCGATGTCTCAGTTCTGTAAGGAAATTGAATTTCTCAACGGATATTTGCGCAAACTACGAACGGGAATCACAGAAGCGCGGTATGAACCTGATAGCTGTCAGTCCGCAGATGCTGTCCTAAATCCTGGAATACCTATAAAACATGGACGGAATCCTGGGGACAAACCTGTCGAGTTTAAAGGACAAAAGCCCAACATCGGCGAGATAGACTCGGACACATTTGTCGAAGCGTGCGTGGATATAATATCACAAAAACGTGATACGGATAATGTTGAAGGAGAGGTCAAGACTCAAGAAACAGGGTGTGACTCGGACTTGGAAAGAAGTAGTGTCGAAAAACCTGACGCAATTCCTACATCTATACCTGGTGTAGGACCTGGCACTCAAGCTAGTAAACCTACGACGAGCTCTACAGAGGACGGCTGCAAGGATCTATCTACAACGGAATCATCTACCATCAAGTCGATCAACCTAAGCAAAAAGGTGAGGCGCGCCGGAAGACCGAAGGTTACAGCTGCTCCAAGGGTACAGACCAGGCGGGTTGCACGAAAACAGTTCAACTCAAGATTGGACAAAGGTGGTGATTTGTCCTTCGAGGACGTCGGAGTTGTGGCAACAGCCATGGAAGGAAAAGATAAGAACTTACGCGAGATTTCAGATTTACTGGAGGTCTATCCAGTAAAGCATGGAGATGCTGAGCGTAAGCACCCAAAGTCGGGACAGATCGGAAACCGATCCTAAGTGCAGCGTTATCCTTCCTGTTACCGAGAGTCCTTGTGCAGAAGTGCTTGGATGTCCTCTACAAGTCGGGCGCTGTCCCCCTACTAGGCCAGAATGATGATGACCCACCGTACGTGAAGCTTACAGGTATCGGAAATTTTCCCTCTATCACCTCGATTGTATGCAAAATATGTGGACTCTGAGAAGCGTTTCGGAAAAAGGACAAAACGCTGTAGAATGGCTAACGTCGATTCAAAAGGACAAAACGGAAGCTGATCACGCCGCAAAGTATTTGTTAGAGTCCCATCCATATCAGATTGTGGATGATAGTCTACACTGCGATCTAGACTACTCGACGCTATATCGGCTACAGCCTGGGGACTGGATTAGCGGCCAGATTTTTGAAGCGATTGGAGCATTTTGGACCAAAGCATACAGTGTTCGAGTTATGCTGACACAGGAGCTGAAACTGAACAAGAAGGTGAGAATGGCGGAGTTACCCGCAGATGTTATACACGAGCTGAAGACGTGTGATACGAAACTCGTTTTCCTTCCACTCAATTTTGATCGCATTCACTGGACGTCGATTGTGATCAACACTGCGACCAAGAGCATTTTCATTTACGCCCTTTGGGAGATCCAGACTACATTGCGTACCTGAACAAAATCAAAACGCGCCTTTGCAAAGAGAGCAAGTTTGCCTCGTACAAATCCGTTGTTGTGGCATCCCTACCCAGAACGACGGGAATAGCTGTGGTATTGACGTACTCAACTTAATGTGGAGGCTACTTGACGACAAGATCAGCAATGTGCAGAAGGACCCTCAGCTGAATAGCTTTAGAGCTCGGATGTTGTCCGCACTACTAAGTCAATAAATGCACTCATTTCATGTCAGATATTGAAGTAGTATTTGAGTCTGAGCTTTTCCGTGTTGCCGTCGGTAAAACCTCAAGCACAAAAACCTGTTTTATAACCTGTTGTCAAATCTGGTAGATATCCCTTGACATATTTGGGATATCGTGCTGATATCGCTCTAAGTACAACAACCTGGTGTAAAACCTGTTTGAATACCTTTGATGATG